GTATTTCCTTACAGCTATGGACGTCGGAAAACCAGGGAGATGAAGGGGATGCTGGGGAGGGAGAGAACTAATGGCTGTCACGCTTCACTATATGTTCAATGTCACCCTGTATCCTACACATAATCCCTTTGTGCGACAAGCAAAAAGAATAGTACATTGACTTTCACAACCTCAACGTAGCAAAAACTGTCTGTGGGGTAAAACCGGTTGGTTGGTGTTTTGTGTACCTAGAGCGGAGGTCGGGTATTCCAATGGCATTCCGAACTTTCCTATTCTGAACATTTACAGTTCCGATTACCGTGTTTATATTTTTAACTGAACACTGTGATGATAATAATAATAAAGGGTTTTGTGATTGCAATTGACTTTACAAAACTCTTCTTGGTAGAAAAGTAGACATCAATTATGTAACTCTGGCGAGCTTAATTTGGCACCAAAATAGTTGAAGTACAATTCTGTTGTAAAGTTGTACAGAAAGTTATAGAGATTCTATTGCGACACTGGGGCATGGAAGGAAAACAATCCAATGTATGGCATTCCAGTTAGGGACACTGCTATGAGGTAGTTGAACAGGCACACTCTGTAGACATTTGTAACCAAGTCTGAGGCACCACTTTCAGTCAAAAGCTCACTTTGTCAATCCTGTCTTTCTGGGGATGGGGTTTGTTTTGGGGAGGAGGGAAACAGGGGAGTTAGCAGCTTGATTTCCAAACTCTTTACACTGGCAGATAACTGGGGTTTGACTTCTCAAAGTGCTTTCATGCTCATACCACATGCATGACTAAGCCCCTTCCCACAGCAATAACTTTTACCTAGTTACAATTTAGATATTCTTCAGTAGTAAATATTCTTGGTTCGCTGCCATGGACTTGCAATAGGAGAAGATTCAATTTTTTGAATGGCCTTATTAGTTTGAATGATACCATGAAGTGATCTGCCACTTTTGCATTACTTTACTCTTAGGTAAATCAAAATCCCCATGGTATTCCCATTCTCAATTTATCCTGAAAACTTTTAAAATAATCCACTGAGCCATCTTTTAGTTCACTTTATTCTCCCACTGGACTCTGTTCATCCTTGACCCTTTCACCTGTTTAAACTCCATTAAAGCAGTTTTGGACTCCCATATGCATCATCCTCCCATATACATCTTTGGTTCCTGGTATGTCAGAATGGTGGATGAGGCCTGCACCTCACCAAGGACAGATTTCTTCCTTGGGTGTTCAAGAGCTGCCAGTGCTGCTGTGTTCTTCAGCTCTTGTCTGCCATTCTTTGGTAGTACCAGGAAACTGGCTCAAGTACTGGCTCAAATATTCAGGATTTCCCATCTCGTACTGGAATGCAGACCTGCACATCTGTAATGCTTGTAATATTTGAGCTCCAAATGTCCTCACCTTGTCATGTTTCAAACATGTCCCATTAAACAAAACCTAGCAAGAGTTGCGTGAACAATGCAGTGGAAAAGATAAGGAATAGTCACCTATCAGTCCCGTGGTATCATCCCCTGCCTTCACATTCCACTTAGGTATAGGATCCATCTGTTTGTCCATCTGTCTGCTGAAGAGAATTTCATGCACTGATTTTAAAACTCCCCTCTACTAGCTGAACAAATTGTGCAGTTAATACTTGGCGCTTGATAAATGCAGTAGTGAATGTGGAACCGAGCCTGTCTGTATATCTGGTAGCTCTTTTCGCTTTGTTTTTACTGACCAGTATTCTGCCTAAAGTTTGCTTCTGTGACGGTTATATTGCCTAGCACACACGTGGTTGTGAGAATAGTATAGCAAAAAGAAATACCTGGTTATTGATGTACTAGATTTGTGTATGTCTTTTAAACAGTTCTAGTTTCACCTTACACAAAATAATCAGGAAAGTGTAAAAGAATTCAAAAGTGAATAATAAAAAAAAAATTTTATCATTTGGTTGTCTGTTGTCTTTGCTATAGTAGTGCCGAAACCTGTGGTAGTAAAATCACCACTTGTACTCATTTTTCAGTTTGTGTGAGTTGATTCATGGTTTACAAATACTGAGTTACTCATTCCTTTAACGAGAGACTTTCCCACACACCCTCCCAGATTTGGAGGAGAAAACAGTTTCTCTTCTTTTTCATCAAGGGCATACTTGGAATACATTGCCATTGCAGGGCTTAAATGCAACTCTGAATAACTATTTAACTTGCCCCGAGTCATTGCATATTGTGAGGTCAAACACACTGTAAATGAGAAAAGCCAGTTGGTTACATTCAGAGATTTTTCTTGGGCATCTTTTAAATACCCACTCTGTCCAGAGGGCTGGCCTCACCTCTGCACACACAGCTCTGCTTGTCTCACTCTGGGCTGTGCTAAAGGAGCACCAAGAGTGCAAAATAGCAGAGGTGCACTGGACATTAGCACGTGAAGGGATGGATGGCAGTAGCCAGGCAGCAAATGCCAGGCAGCCTGAAAGCTTCAAGGAAGCTTGGTCCTGCTCCCAGAGTGTGGCAACACAGAAGTGGGCACAGTGGAAAATGTCACTTGGCCGCTCTGGATTGACCAATGAAGGCATTAGGACAAAATCTAACCAGCTGTTGCTTGACTGCTGTTCTGCCCTGTGCCACGGCTGTACATGGTGGTCCCTCCATGTCTGGAATTATTGCTGCTTTGTCATTTTCTCCAGCCTTCATGGACATACCTAAATGTATGCACATACCACATATAAAACACAAATTATTTTATAGTGTGCACCAGCTCCCAGTCTGATTCATGCTGATGGCATTGTCAGCTCTGAGAAGAAAAATCCCTGCATCTGCTAGCTGCTCCTGTTCAGAGACCACCTCCTGTCTCAGTCCTTTCACATAACATCTCTCATCCTGGCTGTCTCTTGGGGAAATCGTGAGCTGAGGAGGTTGGTCTGCAGCACTGATGAGTTGAGGGGGTGTCTCCATTTTTTATTTAATTCTGTCTTTCTGGGAAAGGACACTGCAGCTGGCCCAGCCACAGTAAGAGTCCAGGTGCACTCAACATGTTTGACTCATCCAACTGTTGCTGCTGCAGCTTCTCATTCTTGATGCTGATCTGATCTTCGGGTGAGGCCTCTTGGTGTGGGAAACCACCAGAAGGCTTTTATGAAGGTAGTGGTTCTGATTGCCTCGCAGCTGACCCTTCCGAGGGTGCAGGATGGGTGGAGCCGGATGCCGGGGGAGCTGCTTTGGAATTGCACTGCCTGCGGCTGGAGGTTCCTGTGTGCTTTCATCCGGCGTTTCAGCAGCACAATCACAGAACAGCTGGGGTGCGATCTCAGTGGGTGAAAGGGAGCTTACAGAGCCCCTGGGCCATACGGACTAGAGTGATGATAGCTGAGGCCATATTCCCTGGCTCTCTGTTGGGTCCTGCTGTGGAATTCAGAAATGCATGAGCACCCGGTGATGAGGGGTTTGTAACCCAGCTGTGTACGGCTCCTGCCTGAACTCCTTCACTTCAGAGAATTACATATCAGAAGGTGAATGCAATTTCCTAAAAGCGCGTGGGTGGGACGCGCTGTCA